GCATGTCTCTCAACCAGCTTCGTATGTGTCATCCACTGGCACTGGGCACTGGAGTCTTCCTCTACCAACACTGAGCATTTCTCTTAAGCAGTTTCAAGGGGCAAATAACTGGGCACAGAATATCTGGGGCCCTTTCCAGTCTGCCTATGGTTCCAGGAAAAAAAGACAGGTAAATTCCAGATGCCAATGTGCACTTAATCCTCTCCAACCCACAGTTCAAACCCAGGTATGCCTGATTACTATGTCCCTGACCTTCCTATTACTCCCCAAGCAGCCAGTCAGCTCGGTAGGCTCTCTTAAGCCTTTCTGTAGACATCTGTGGTAGTCAGCATCCAAGATGGCCTCCATTGATCCTTGCCCCCTAGTATTCTTTTCCTTATGTTAAGGGGAAGGATGTCCTAAAGGAACTCTGTGAAGTCTTATGGACCCCACCCCCTACTCCAACTTTCTGAACTCTACCCTCTACTCCAGTGATTGGAAACTACAACTCCCAACAGTACCAGGGAGAGAACTGTGAGGACCCAAGGGCAGAGCTAGCAGGAATTCTGGGACACTGGGGGATAAATAGGGTGCAATTGTTTGTGTCTCGCTCTCATCTCTAAATGGCTCTCCGGACTGCATGACTCGATGTTTTCAGTCAGCCCAGCCGTAAGGTATTCCAGTTACGTTGTATCCTGCTCTCTTTCCCTGGATTGTTTCCTATTCCTTTCCCCTTTTGTAAATAAACCTGTTATTGACCCTTTTGTGTATGCCTGCAGTATAACTGAATTGTGAGTGTGCAGGTGAGGCCCCACCTACAGGCGGTCCAGTCCACTCTGGGCTACCCTGTAACACTTACATAGACCCCTCCCACACAAAATGGGATAACCCATGTAACCAAGAGGATACTGTAGAAATAACAGTGTTTGCCTTCCAAGACTAGGCTGTGAAAGACATTGTGGCTTCCATTGGTTCTTTCCTTGAACAACCCTCATGAGGAAGCCGGCCACCGTGTTGTGAAGATACTCAAGCAGCCCTCTGGAGGCCAGACTATGTGGGAAGAAACTGACAGCTCCCACGTGATAGCCACACAAATGAAACACCCTGGAAGCAGCTCCTCTACACCCAGTCAGCCTTCAGGTGACCACAGCCCCCATAGGAAACCTAAGGCCAGAACCAGCTGGCTAGGCCACTCACAAATCACTCACAAATGTCTGACCCAGAGAAACTGTATAAGAGAATAAAAGATCTGCTGCAGCTTTAAGCGACTAAATTTGGCGGTAATGTGTTACATCATATTGCTGTGTATAAATAAGACAACTCTTCTCAGCCCTGGGTCCCTGCTGAAGAAAGTCTGGAAGTGGCATGTTCAGGCATCCAGAGCCAGCTTCTCTCTAGAAAAATGGCCAGAGTGGGCTGAATTTGAGCATATGGGAGAACGTCAACATCAGCAAGAAATTTTCAATGTGTGGGAGAGGCACTGTGAAATAAGAGACCAAGCAAAGAAGAAATCCTGGCACCTTCTTCCCTAGAAGTTCTTCCCTAGTTTCTCACACACTTCATCCGTCTCAGTAAATGGAACCACGTGCACCCAGTTACTCTGGCCAAAAACCTGGCAGTCATCCTTGAGTCCATTCTCTGTCTCACACCCAACATCCAAATCACCAGCCAGGCTCTGGGCTCTAGCTCAGAATGCATCGGGACCTGGTCCCTGCTCATCCTCCTCCCGACCAGAGTATGACCTAAGTCACACCTCCCACCTGGGCACCATTTGCCACCTCTTGGCCCTGCTTCTACCCTGGTGCCTGTCCAAGTTTAGTGTCCTTCTCAAAGAAGAGATCAGACCAGGTCTCAGTGTTCAAAATCCTCCCCTACCTACCACTGTCTAGTCACTGGCCTTTTTTCAGGGTGACAAGCTCATCTCACTTCACTGGCCCTTTCCCTCTCTCAGCTTATCATGCAACATCATCCGGGTCTCACCTCAAACAATACTCCCTTTGAGAAGTGTTCCTACACAACTCTGGCCTTACCATGCTCTCCCACTACTCCAGCCCACGTCTGTCTTTGATGCAGTACTGACCTATTTATTGCCCGTCTCCCCTATTCAGATGTCAGTCCCATAAAGGCAAGGGCTGCATCTGTCTAGTTCACCTGGGACAGTGCCTGGCACATGGGAAGAACTCTAGCAGTTGTTTAGTGAGTCCTGTCTAGAGATAAGGGATGAGGGAGAGGACCTCCAGGTGTTCAGGTTATAAAATCTAGATCACAGAGCTCAACTGTGTGCTCTGAGGCTTCCCTGTCCTTCCCTGGAGGAGGAAGGGCAGAGCAGTAGTAGTAAGATATGTGGTTTTAGAGAAGAAACTTGCCAGCAGGGTAGAGCTCACACCACTGGTGGGTCCCATTTTCTATAGCAGAAAATCCTGCTTAAAAAAAATCTGGGCCCTCCCTGGTAGCACAGCAGGTTAGGACACAGCACTAAGAAGCTAAAGCCACTTCAGCATGAGTTCGATCCCCACACCAGAGGTGACCCACACAGCACGGCAGACCTCTCCTGACCCACCCGCTGCTCCCCTCAGCAGTGTACTTTGTCAGTCGACTTGTTCTGCTCCCCACTCTGTCTCTGAAGAATCCTCTCACCGCCCCTGCACTTCTGGCCTATACCCCAGTTCTGTATGCTTAAATAAATAAATCTTTTTAAAAAAAATCTGTCTGTCTGGCCACTGCCCACCAGTCCCTCTACTCCCTGGTGGGGGGCTCCTCCGAACTTCGGGGGTCTCCTCCATTCGGCAGGGCAGATGGCTGCAGCCTGTGTGCACTGAGCTCCCAGGCTCCTGGAAACTGCCAGGCAGGGTATGAGCCCCCTGCTCCCTCCCAAGAAGTCACCTTTGGCATCCCTCTGTCTCCACACTGGAGGTAGCTATCAAACACGGGGTCATCTGCTGTCACACTTCTCAGTTCTCTGCCTGCAGGTCACCCTACCTGGAGCAATCATTGTCCTTACTGGCATCCTCTCTAACACTGCTGCTGCACAAGGCATGGAAGGGAAAAGGGGATGGGCAGGTGAGGAGGAAGGAACGCCTGCAAATAGACAAGACAAGAGGGATCAGAAAGAAACACAAAGGCTCCAGACAGAGGACAATAGGAAATGACGCTGGGGAGCCTTGGCCAAGTCATTCTGCCTTTCGGTGCCTCTGTTACCTTATCTGTGAAACAACAGAATCTTTCGGCCTGTTTTATGCTCTGATGGAATAAAAAAAAAATCAGATAATGCTTTGAAGGGCTTTCTAAAGCCTAAAGTACTGTACAAATGTTCACTGTTACTAAGAGTAACAGGTGCAGGAAGGGCTAGACCAGGGAGGAATAAGGAAACTGGACCTAAAACTGAAAGTTTTAGCAACCAGGGAGGGAAGCTTACTCCCAAAGCAGAGAAGGAAAGACCCGGGGGGGGGGGCAGAGGAAGCAGAAGACACCAGCAGGGAATGGACAATGGAGACCACGGCAAGGCAGGCCCTTCACACCTCTGCTGGGAGACAGCTCCAGCCTCCACTCAGATGGCCCAACAAGGCCATGGACTCTGCTCATGCAAGGTCATCCAGAAGGAAATGGATTCCCCCCAAAGAACTGCCTGCTCCATCAACAGGCACTTGGCCCTCCCTTTGGAAAGTAACACTTGGCCCAGGCAGCTACCAATTGATAACAATCAATTACAGTTGACCCTTGAGCAACACAGGTTTGAACTGCCTGGATCCACTTATCCTAAGATTTTCTTGTAAACAGATTACATAAACTTAGAGTACCAATAAATAGAGTACAATACTGTCAGTGTGTTTTCCTTATGGTTTTTTAATAACATTTGCTTTTCTCTAACTTTATTGTAGAAATGTATTACATGTAACATACAGAGTACGTGTTGATCCACTGTGTCTGTCATCCATAAGGTTTCTGCAGACGATTAGTAGTTAAAGTTTTGGGAGAGTCAAAAACAATACTTGGGTTCGCCACTGAGCTGGGGTCATTCCCCTTAACCCTTGCAATATTCAAGGGTTTTTTGCCCCCAACCATGTGTCAGACCCGGTGTCCAGCACACACATGATCCTCATAACAACACTGTCTCCTGCTCATGAGTGAAAGGCAAGACAGCGCCTTTCACCCCCAGAGAGCTGACTCCATCCCAAAGCGCAATTTCCTTCCCCCAAAACCCATCATAACCCACCCTGTCATCCTCCCTCCCCCTCATTACTCCAAGAAACCCCCACAGATGATCCATCACTCTTCTTTCCAGATTTGTGAAGATGCAGAGGGGACTGTCCAGCGCGGACCCAGCCATGCCTGCGTCCTGTGAACTCAGTCTGCTTCTCCCACCAAGACCGTCCAGGAAACACTGATGGGGAAACTGAGGACCCAAGTGGGGCTGACCACTAGGGAGGGTGATGCGGTTCAACAAGTTCCAAAGTGCTACCTGGGCTTCACCTCCGACCACCTTGTCCATCCCACCCCCTCTTCCAACCTAAACCCGTTCCTGGATGTCCCGTGGCTGTGGGCCCATCCAGAGCTTCCCTAGGATGGCCACGTTCGGTTAAAGTGGGCTTCGCGCCACCGAAGTATAAGTGCAATATAGCCCCCTCCTCTGCCTTACCGCTCACGCGCGCCACCACCTCGCCCCTCGAGAACTTAGGGAACCAGCTTCACAGGCCCGGCTCTCGGAGCTCAATCACCGCCCGACACCTCCAGAGGCGCCCAGACCGCCCGCGCCCCCC